CTACATCAATGAAGCAATGGAATTGAAGTCAACAGTATTGAGTACACATCACGTCAAAGAATCTCATACATCAAGAAACTTGTTATCTATAATGAAGAATATTACTCATAAGTGGAATATAACATCATAAGTACACAAGGTAATTACAGATAGTGGTGCAAATATAAAAAGGGCAGTGAGGCTAAGTGGTTGGAACCATTTGGCATGCTTTGCTCACTTGCTTAACTTGGTTGTGACAGATGCCATTAAAAATGATGATGAGCTGACTTTTTTGATTCAACAAGTCAAGGCAACTGTTACATACTTCCATAAGAGCTCAAAGGCATCTGACAATCTTGTTGTGAATCAAAACAGATAAAATCTCCCAAATCATAAATTAATCCAACAAGTTGAAACAAGGTGGAACTCTGTTTACTACATAATCGTTACATTGAACAGGAAGAAGCTGTCAAAACCACCCTGTGCTTGTTGGACAAAAGTGATTTAATCATACTTAGTGAGAAGGCAGCTTTGATGAAAAATGCTATATCCACACTCATGCTATTTGAAGCTGTGACTACTAAAATGAGTGCTGAAAAGAATGTCACTGGCTTTAAAGTCATCCCATTATCAAGGGGTCTGCAACGACTTACTGCCACTAGTACAAGTGTCCTGGGTGTCAATCTCAATAATCAAATCGGAAATAGTTTTCCATTAGGAATGGAGGAGAATTATCTGATAGCTATCCCCACTTTACTTGATCCACGATTTAAAAAGGCAGCATTTACTGATAGAAGTAGAGTGGAAAGAATGTCTCGAGTATTATTAAATGAGGTAGTTGCCTTACATCAACATCCAGCACCTGAGGCTGATACAGGATCTGTGCCGTCCACAGCAGATGTTGAGACTACTTGCCACGGTGATGCCAGTGTATGGCAGTTTTTTGATCAAAAAGTGGAACACATATTTTCCCAGCAAATGCCATCAACGTCAGCATTCATGGAATTAGATCAATACTTCAAAGCACCAATTCTTTCAAGGCAAGAAGATCCATTAAAATGGTGGAAGACAATAAACACATTTATCCCAACGTAGCAAAGGTAGCACGTAAATATCTATGTACTTTAGCCACATCTGTACCTTCAGAACGCCTTTGTAGCAAAGCAGGAGAAGTGTCACAGAAAAGAAAAAGTATCAAGCCGAAGAACGTAGATATGATGCTTTTTTTGAACAGTTGTCCTTAACCGAGTTGTTAACTCTTCTGATTTGAGTGATTTCTTTGATTTTTAATGAATTTAATTGTATTCATAACCATTTTTGAATGGAGTTTAGTCAATTAACAGTTAATAGGTGTGATTTAATAACTTATCAATAATTTTTATTGATATCTAGCATTTTGCTCAATTATCGACAATTATCATATTGTTTCAAAATTTTGATTACTGCCTAGCACTACAACTGGAGGCCACTTTGAATGTTTCACTCACCACTGATGTTTGGATTTCTCCAGAAACTAAGTTGTAATGCTGTGAGACAGCCCATTATATCACTGGCAATTGCCAGCTCAAATATTTACTGGACATATTTAAGTTCAAAACTGAGCACACAGCAGCTCACATAGCTGCCAAATTTCACTGTGTTGCAACTGCCTGAACATCAAGAACAAAATTGCTTGCATCACTACTGATTATGCCTCAAACATGATAGCAGAAATAAGGGAAAAGGCTTGTACCATGCTTTGTGCATTCTCTGAATAAGCAAGACCTTACATGCATCAAAGAAAGGTGTAAGCGCATCGTTTCCTATATTCATTTACGTGTTAAGCCTAGTGCAAGGGTGTATCTAGGAACTATAAAATGGCCACTGAGGGCATAAAGCCATAAATATTAGTGTTAAAGGAAAAGGGACAGAAAACCACTGTGTTTGTGGCAGGAAATGCGTTCCCGTGTACCTTAATAATCTAATTATTGTATTATTGTAATAAATTAAAATGTGTATGATATTAGATACTTTTTGTACTAATCATTAATACCGTAGATTGGGAAATTTTCATGTAGATTTATTTTCACCAGTGAAATTTTTGCGTGTTTAATTTTTGCCAGGATGACTAGTGGTGAAAATTAAGCATGGTTAAAAATTAAACCATAGCAGTGCTTCTAGTGACAGGTTTCTTCAGCTTCCTTGAAAAGTATTTCGAGGCAGATGTTGCTCCATGTTGAATGGCATACTTGCCAATCTGTGAACGTTCAGAAACACTAAACTTCTGATAAGGGCTGCAGTGTTTCTTACTATTCTGACCACAATCGTTCTCTTCTTCTACTGTCCTGTTCATTTCCCTTATTACATCGAAGGGAATAAGAGTAGAAAGGGATTGTCTTGGGTCTGGAAGGTTGTGAATTGGCTTAAAATATCGAAGCAAAGCCATAATCAATCGTTAGCTCTGGGTAACGTGCAGCTGCGTTCAAGGCCATGTGTTTAATTTTAACTCGCTCTAATTATTCGCAATGTTAAGATTTTTGTGTGTCAAATCTTAACCACTTAGTAACATGGTGAAAAATTTTTAACGGTGAAAATTTCCCGATCTACGGTAGTTAGATAGTGGATAGTGAGGTCAATTATCATGGAGTGAGACTCTTCCTCTATAACTTTTGCTTTTGTCCAAGCACTGGCTGTTGGCTTGTTTGTAGTGCCCTATTATTTTTTTGTGTATGCGTAGCAGCATATTTTGAAGTACAGTTTTATTATATCCCTTTGTAGAGTTGCTGCTGGTTCCCGCTTTCAATATGATGTTGTAGGCCTAAACTCTTTATCATGACATTGTACGACCCTCCCAGTTACTCTGGATGTCTATCTTTCATTGTATTTTCATGAGAATAGTTGGAAGTGTCTCTGACTAGCCTCAGGCAGGTTGAGTAACTGCTCCAGTTTTACCTGCAAGACATTTCTAGTGCTCTGAGGTAGAAGTAAAAGTTGTTGCTGCATTTGGTTAGCTCACCTCTGTCAAACATACGAAGCCATGACTGAGTGTCTTCAATTACTTTAAGAGGGGAGCTACTATCAAAGTTTTCATGATCTGCTCTGTTGTCTACGAAGAACTTCAATAATGCCAATTGCTCCTCATTTACATTCTGTCTTCCTCAATTTGCATATGATGTACCCTGGTATCCCTGCTACAAGCCATAAGGCATTTTGTTCATTGTATGCAAGTTGTTTATGTCTTAGGATCTCTGAATAGATGTTGTTGGGTAATGATGTTTTGATGGACGATACAGTAGTTAAATGTAATGTCAAAGCTAAAATTTAAGAATAATCAAGACCAACAGCATAATGAAAATTTCTGCATACTGCATTGTATTAATCTGATGACGTGAATTATCAAAAATGAAGCCATATTTGCTTTCAAATTTTGCTACTAGTTGCCTTGATGGATAACAATTGTTTTGAGTACTCCAAATAGATGTATTTGAAAGTTCTTTATTACATCCGGGTTTGTCTTAGTCACTATATACCTCACAATTCTATCTGCTGCCTGTTTTCCTGTTAAAATCAATTTCTCCATTTTGCATTAGTGTAAAATGATGCCTATATCAAGAGGCAAAATTGCATAAAATTATATATGATTTTATTACTACTATATTAATATTAACAGTTTTTATATGAAGGATAGATATTTCTGATGTTTGCAATGAAGTAGTCTCATCATTGTGCAGTTCCTTGGTACTACCATCTAATAAAAATTATATTATCTGTGAAGACATTCTAATATCTTAGTAGGCTGGCACTTAGTAAGCTAGTACAATCTTAGTAAGCTGGTATGTTATCAAATTCTGATGACTATTATTTTTAGATATTGTACCAGTTACAGCATTTTTGAAAAATGATTTATCAATTGAATTGATTTAGTCTAACCTTTAGTAAGTTTTCGTTTTGGCAAAAGTTCTGATGATACATGTACTGCTGAGATGTGGTCAGTCTTTGTTCCAATCGTGTTTCCCTTTACAGTATCAATTTTTACGCTACCAATGACTCTTAGAGTCTGGTTATTCTTTAAAAGCTGGTCAACTGTTGGACTTTCTTTAGCTTAGCCTCTCTGACACTGTTCTACAAAAAATTTTTCCAGTGGGTTTTGCGATATATGGTCACTAAGAAAGGATTTTACTAAAGGTGTGGTAAAAATATTCTTGATTAAGTCACTGAATGAATAAACTGTTGATTAAGATAAATCTAACTTGTTAACCGTACTCCACAAAGTGTTTCACTACTTAAAACCAGTTGGTTTCTTTAACTTTTTCTTAGGTCAGTCCTCCTTTTTGCTTGCTCCTCCCAGTTTTTTAACCATGCCAAAAACTGCTTAAGCCACTACATTAGATATACAAACAGCAATTAAAAAAGAGAATTTGCATTTAAACAATAATTTAACCAGTGGCGTAGCCAGACCTTTTGTGATGCCTGGGCTGGGGCAGAAAAATAATTGGTGTGTCAAGGGCACCAAAAAATTTCCATGCTGTTAATGATATTCATGATGGGCGTGGTCAATTAAATCGGTGGAAAATGGCTGATTTGAAGTAGGATTTGTATGAGATTGCTGGTTTTTGTGTTAGATCTCACAAAATACTATTGCTAAGCAATCAAAATCTAGGAAAGAAGTCATTCTTGTAGAGCAGTGCTCAATAATCTCTGGTAAACAATTGATCATTGACATTTCAATTGTCTAATTATTTGATCTGGGATCTGATACCCCGGCCCAGGCCCGGTAGGCCCAGGTGTAGCTTCACCTCTGAATTTAACTCAATCCTTGCATCACTTCCCTATCCGTATGGCTGTTTAAAAATCTTCAGTGTGTGTTTTGACTCAGAATAGCTCTAAACATTCAGATTATCAAAAAATTATGGATTTGTTATGCAAAATTTACTGTCTCCTTGGCATTCTTTATGGGTAGCCTCAGTCCACAAGCTATACTTTGACTTAATTCCTATCATATACATATAGCCAGATCAACTCTCATTTTTAAGAATCCAGTAAGGTATACATGTTCAAGCTTTAATTTGTGTACATGCCAAGAATTATAATCTCTGATACAGGCCAATCAATGATTCAAGCCTGATGTCTGTTTTGATACAGCCCTGACTGGCATCAATACTGAGTCATGTTTGTTGCTCTGGCTGAACCAGGGCCACACTTCAGCATGACTGTATCATAAATGGTTATCATGATTGTATTATACTAGACTCATTTTTTTGCAGGCTGTCCAAAATCCATGACACAGGAATATATTAAGGCTGATCCTGATTAATATCAGTCATGATTCAAAGTAAAATTCTTGGCTGAGTACAGTTGATAAGCCTTTAGTCTCAGTGACTAATGATAAAACTGTTTAATGTGCTCCCAACTAATTGCTTGCCATTTAGCTGTGATATATAGTTTAAATTATATTAGACTGTAATTTTAATGTAACTAACCTGCAATTTCCTTTTAGGATTAGCAAGACAATCCTGTGCTGTGTTCAAGAGGAGTGGTGTATCTGAAAGGAGGAACACTTCACGAGTGTCAGATCCGTTGTTTAATGGATTTCTGAATTTGTGGCATATTTTATTTGTTTTTATTGTTATGATAATGCTAAAAAACTTTCTATTAACAGAGTTGCCATTGGGAGATATGCAAGTTACTTTACACCTGCATCTTTAAACATTTATTATAGCTTCTGAGATTAAAGAAACCAACTGCTCACCCATCACAGTAGATGTTGGAAAAGTTACATAAAGAGAAGCGAAACTGGTAACAAGCCCTCTTGTCATGATAGCCATCATTGTAGCTGTGAATTCTAGCTCTTTGTCTTGCATTTGCTGGACCTTTATATTGATGCTCTAACTGTAGTAAGTGGTTATTAATATCATTAATATCACTAAAGCCTATTAAATCACCAGGTTGCTTTGCTTGTAAACTAATCCAGCTTTTATGTATATCCCATCTCCCATGAGCATGCTTCTGGTTTGGTTGAAGAGTGGGGGCATTGGAATTTTTGATCAGTTGATTGTCTAAATTGGAAGAGTCAAACTGAACCCTTAAAGTATGAGTGTTGTCTAGGAGTGTGTGCTAAAAAGGTAAAATTATGATGTTGGTCTTTCGAAGCAATTCGTAAGCTTTTGATGATTTATGGCTAAGGAAGATGCAAACCTTAATCATTGCTGGGTGCCATCAATAGTTCTTGTTAGTTGATGGCATTGCAGCCTTATATTGACTGATCTAAAAACATTGAAAGCTATTTTTGGGATATGATGCTACCATTTTGTTTTCATTATATTGCATTATTTGTAGAAAGTCTTGATGTGTAGCATCAAGTACATAAATATGATCTATATTCACTTACCATATCTGTCTGTAACCTTTCCTTTTTTGTTTTACCAATTTTTGGCATTAATTGTCGTAGTTGCCTGGACATACCTTTAGCTTCAAGATAAAGGATTTATCATTTTTGCTACTCATATCATAACTATTTCTCTTTCAGAAAAATTTTTCTGATTGAATGAAGAAATAGAGTAAGACATTGCTATCTATTGAAGCTGTAAATAGTGTTCGTAGTTGTGTGCTTTTTTTTCAGGATGTCAAGACAATTTTTTGACTATTACTTGTATCTGCTAAACATCACACATCTGGCATAAATTCAGCATGTAGTGGTCTGCAGGGTCCATGTGTCTTTTCTGTGCTGATGTTGATCTTGATGCTGATGCTCGTTTTGCACTGCTTTGTTGATGTAAAGTTGTTTTTGGTTTGTCTTGTAGATTAATGGAATTCTGTTGTGCTTTTTACTATTAGCATTGAATTTTTTTCTGAGCATCTATAAAATAAATAATTATTAAAATACTGTACATTTCTAAATTCAATACTGCCCTAAGGTTGACATTGTGCATGCAGAATAATGGGTATCATTACAGTTTAGTTAAATTTTGTTCCAAAAAGTACAATAAGTTAAAAAATTGATGGTCATGATGCCTAATACTGGACTGAATTACTACATTCTTTATAAAAAGAATGCTCTGGTCCTGAGCAATATGGTACTTATGCCATATTATTATTAACCTTGTATGATACTAAAGCTGTAAAATTTTGTGGATTGTTATGTATCCTGAAGATAATGTAGTGAGCTAGTTATAGTAAATAGAGGCGTTGGTGGTAACAAAAAGTTGAATTGATGGAGAGATGATGAAAATAAATACTGTTGGACAGTGTGTCATAGACTGGTCACCACAGTAACATTTATTAACAACATTAGTTACAGTGGATATGTCATGGATACACACCATAATGCTGATAACTCTCTAGCCAAATTTTGTGTTCATGAAAAGAAAAGAAGCCTTATTTATTTATATGTTAGAATGTAGAGGGAAATTACCTCTGTTACCTGCATTATGGCAATATATGTTTTTGTAAAAAATTCTACAACCAAATCATTAATTTCTTTCGGGTTAAGGGTACAAAACAGAGTCAATTTTGGAGTCAACATACTGCTTTTATATTTCAGTGACACACTTTCATTTATACAATAGTCTAGTTACCTTGTTTCTCACGTTATTCAAATGATTATAAACTTAAACAGTAGCGTAGGAAGGTTGTCAGAGATGGGGGGCTGCAAAATGGCATGCGAAGCGCGCCGCCATTTTGGCCATGACGTCCATCTTGTGCACGTAGCGTTCTGCAATTTTGACACCTTTTATTTTTGTGTAACGCCAGAATGGCATTTCCATTAAATTTGATACAGTAACAAAATATTTTATAAAACTTTATAACAATTATTTTATTTTTCTAAAATAGTGCATTCTGCAGCTATTTATTTAGACAAACTGACTCCCAACATCAGCAAGATCAAGAGAATCAGTCAGAGAGTCATGAACATAAAGCATCAGTAGATTATTAAGCCTCTCTTGAGTCATAGTGCTACGAACAAAAGTCTTCAATCTACGCAAGGCTGAGAATGATCTTTCCGCTGTTGCTGTTGTTACAGGAACTGTAAAATACACTTTCAATACTTTGTCAATTTCTCCTAACTTATGCTTATAAATATCACTCTTATTCATAGAGTCTGCTATAGTTTGTAATGATGTAACTTTTTTTATTGAATTTTGCTGGGCGTTTTGAATCATATCTTGAAGCATTGAGAGTTGTGCAATGAAACATTTTTTATTAATATCCTTCTTGAGGTACTGAAGTAATATTTCTTCTGGTTCATCAATAATGCCATTTGAAGCTTTAAGTAGGAGAGTTTCTAAGCTATGAACTATTTAAAGATCAACATGACTAAACCTCTTTTCCACTTCTTCATATGCTAGTTCAAGAGCTTCAAAATAAATGTCGATATCTCTCTTTTGGTGTCTGATACTGATGTGGTTGACTACCATCATCAAACCTTTTAGGTGTTTTACGATACTTTGGGAGACAAGGCTCATCAGTAAGTTCAGAAAATGCCTTCAGAACAAATTCGTAGAAAGTTTCAAAAGAAGATTCTGTTCTCTGTGATTTTAAGTGAGTCACAAGTAGGTGAGCACCATTAGTGGCATCAGACACAGTAGTATTTTTTGCTTGCATACTTGTTAAAAGCTGCTCTGAGTTACTAAAAATCAGATATGACACCTTTAGGCCAAAAAATATCTCAAATGATTCCATCTGTTGTAGTAGGCCATTTGCCTTAGCAGCATATTCATCATTACCTTTTCTAACTTCATCCAATGTATATATAATGCTCTCATAGTTCATCAAAATGCTATTAATTGCTGAGTTTCTCACTGTCCAACGGGTAGGGCATAAAGTTCGTATAGCAGGAGTTGTTTCACCAGTGTCAATAAAAACTTGAGACCGCATATGATTAAACAGAGAAAGATGCTTAGGTGAGTAAGTGATAAGTTGTATTAACACAAACAGGAATTCAATAACATTTCTCATCAATTGTGATTGCTTTGTGGTGCTTTGAATGCATAAACTGAGGTTGTGGGCACGACAGTGAACATAGAGGGCATGCTCTTCCTCTCTTTTAATCAAAGCTTGTACTCCATTTCCTATCCCACTCTTGTTGGAGGCCCCATCAAATGCTTGGCCACGACACTGACAAAGGAAGAGAGCATCTGATTAAAAGATCCTTAATGCATGTAAAAATAGTGTGAGCCCTTGTGTCAGGTAGCTGCATAAACCCAATGCACTCTTCATAAACTGCATATTCATCATCAACCCATTGAATAGACAAAGACATCTGTTCATTGCGACTTACATCTGTTGCTTCATCAGCAATGATTGAAAAAAGGAAGAATTGCTTTTAATGTTTGAAAGTATGCCACGAAGAACAGAATTTCCCATAATCTTTATAAGCTCATTCATGATTTAAGGAGAACATACTCTCTATGGTACAGCCAAGACTTCAATTCTGGGCATTCCTCTGATCTAAGTAATGTTAACTTATATAAATTGCCTTCCATATGATTAGCATCTTCATGATGTCCTCTTAGAGCCAGCCATTGACGAGTTAAAAGTCGAATGCTTGAAAGTAGCTTTAGCAACATTTCCTTATGATGCTGTTGTGACGTGATGTGTTGCTGGTTTAGTTGTACACAGACATCAGTGCCACTAGAATGTGCTGCATGCTTAAAAACTGCTTCTCTGTGCATCTCACTTCTATCATGTTCTTCTAGTTTCTGTAATGCTTTCTTCCAGTTACAAAACCCTTCTTCCAAAAATTTGTTTACTTGACGTTTTGTGAAAGTAACTAACTTCTTTTGCTGAGCATATCTGCAAGTATGGCAAAATATCTTGTATCGTTTTGTACACACTGTGATCCAAGGATACTTCTTATACCAGCTTGTTTGAATAGATCTAGTGTAGGCCTTTTTTCTGCTCCAACTTCGACAATTATGGGCATAAGATTGTCTTGATTTTTCAAGTGTGACAGCAGCTGGTTGAGATGGTGGGCCAGTTACACTGATACAACACGGACATGAACACTGCTCTAGCTCTGACAAGTCAGGGGTTATAATACTATTGGATGAGCTATGTTGATCATTTATAGAGCATTCTTCGCCACCGCTATCTTCATCAGAGGCATTGTGGCCAGAAAGGGGACTGCATGAGATTTGAGAAGATGATGAATTTGAAGTAGCGTATGAAAGAGAATCTTACATTTAAAATATGTTGTCAAAAATATTAACCAGCTCAGTGACCTATGTTTTTTGAAGAACTGTGATAGTGTAAACTGTTTCGCCATTTTTTATTTATTACAATGTAACAATAATGATAATCAATTAATTATAATTATTATTTACTATTATTAATCACTATTATTATTATTATTATTATTATTATTCAAAAATTTTATAATTCAATTGTAAATTTTTGGGGGGGGGCCCAGCCCCCCCGCCCCCCTCGTTCCTAGGCCTATGTGAAATTATAGAGTGCTGTAAAATGTGACAGAAGAAGATACAAAAGAAAATTAAGAGGAGCAACATTAATACTGTAGCACGTTTAGATGTGTACTGTAGCACATTTAGAAGTGATTTGTTATTGCGCACTTACAGGAAGCTTCATAAACAGGTACCAGAGGTAAGATGAAGTTGAGCTCTGCATAAGGAAAATTTGTAAAATAAATCATGGTTTGACAGATAAGAAACTGATGGAATAAACTTCCATTTTTTGGTCAAAAGAACTTCGCACCATCAACGTACCGGATCGGTTGCTATGATACGCATTATATGCCTGTAATACTTTCTGTGGTTGGCTATCCCTTTCCTTTTAACTGTAATGCCAAAAGCAAAGCGTGCCTCCATTTTAACCATGCCCCTTTCTACAGCAGTAAAACAATATTTGCCTTCAGAATTACAGGTGCGGTTGAAGGTAAGGTCAAGATAATTTCAAACATTTAAACTAGTTGTGGTACTTCAAATTGCTTTGTAAAGTACTGAAAACTGCGAAATAATGATTGGGGGCTTTGTTAAGAGGCTTTATCATAATCCAGAGGTCCAGGACTTGAGTAATTTTTTGAACCCAAGCATAAGGGGGGTACTCAAGCCCCCCTTGCCCCTCCTTGGATATGCCACTGTAGTGATAAACTGGCAGCTATGCCTAAGCAACTGGCAGCTATGCCAAAGCAACTGGCAGCAACGGACCACAAGCTTATTCACTAAATGGAACTCCACCTACTTAATGTTCCAAAGGTATGTGAAGGAGCATGAAATCGTTAGAGGTACATTGTGTCTCTTTGGCCATAACACTGCCTTGCATCACATGACCATAACTGCCATATCTGAGTGCTGGCAGTATTAGCACCATTCCTTGAGGCAACAGAGAACATATCAGCTGATCAGTATGTTTCAGTATCACTGATAGTACCCTGCTACAATGGCAGTGCCGCATTAGCTATTGTACATCATCCAGACTTGTGGAAAATCAATGCTAGCAGATATCCACAGTTGCAAAAGGTTGCTTCAAAATGCTATATAGTAGTGCCAGCTAGGTTCTTCAGGACCATGTGAGAGACTGTTTTCAAAGCTCGACAATTTGTTAGTGAGAGAGGAAATAGGCTGAAACCTGAGAACATTGACACCATAATTTGTTATTTTAAACTTCAACATAAAACTAGTAAACTAGTACTGTAAATAAACGTCATGGACTTCACTTACTTGTTTGCGTCATCATTGTTCATTGTTTATTTTTTAACCACAAATAATCATAGTCAATACTGTGCATGCGCACAAATACCGTAGGTCGGGATATATTCGCGGCTGCAATTATTTGCAGTCATAAAAAAATCAATTAAAAACCATGGAAACTGTTAGAGCGTTGCTATGACAATTAAGACAATGTGTTTAGTGTTCAGCTATTCATCTGTTCTTTAGCAGCTATAGTGGAGCCATTCACCAATAGCGAGTCCTTCTCTATCTGTTAACTTCTTGTATGGACTGCTACCTCGGAGCTCTTTCAGCCTCTTTGCTGCAAATTGTTGCTGGTCCGCGTGCTGGTGATAATAAACCACGCCCAAGTCAATAAACACTAACTAGAATGGGTGGAGAGTCCCAAAATATGGCGAGGCACTAGTTGTGTAAAGAACCGGTGAAGCAGCTCCAAAGAGCCCAAGGCTCAGTGACACAAGAAGAACAACAGCTCAAGAACACTGCAGCAAGGTGCTTTTCCTCACTATCGCGCTGTTTTCAATTAAAATAAAACCTCGGTTTCCATGGTTTTTAATTGAAATTTTTTTTATGACCGCGAATAATTGCAGCCGCAAATATATCCCGACCTATGGTACATCAGTTGGTAGTACTCGAAACTTTCAATACACAATGCAAAATTACTAGGAATCAAACCGAATTCGATTTTTAAGGTACTGAACAGCACTACACTACAACAAAAATGGGAAACCACCTGGTTTCACATGATCCTTTCTGACGTGACATCAACACATTCGATTGTTAATGTTACCTTAGGGGCCCCATTGATTCAGTCTGTCCAAGACATAAAGCAACCTAGGAGGAAAACTATGGACGCACTGCTGTAAGGAAGTGTGGCCTAAGGTAGTTGGGCCCGCTTCCAAGACAATTGAACCTCAGGTAAGTAAATTATACAGGGCTTTGGATCAATATCTTCAAATCTCCAACACCAAGAAAGAAAATATGCTGCCCTGGGGCAGATATTGCATGTATATACACAATACACAATTATTTACATGAAAATAATAGTAAAGAGTACATACATGTACATACAAAGTGATTATTCCTTAATACTTAAAAATACATGGATATTTTTATTTTAATAATTTAGGGGTGTGGTTTACTTTCTAATATGGCGATAGAAACATGTGCTACTCCTAGCTCAATAAATATTGATTATTATTCCTTCTTTACACTACCTACTCGGCCCCAAATGAACAAAGACTGTGTAGCTAAATGTAAGATATGTTAAAAGGACTACAAGTGCACACTAACTACAAAAGGAAACCTTTTGAAGCACCTACAAACATCCCACTCTCATTTACATAGATATCACCGAGAAAAACAGCAGCGTCAACTAAAAAGTTCTAATCAGATGCTTCTTACAAGTGATGTGCAAGCGAAGAAAAGGCCAGACTTCAAGAATTAGGACAAAATTGCTACATCTGTTGCCTTAAACTTGTGTGGAAGTGGAGGACCTGCTCTACAGATGGTTGAACAACCATGGTTTTGGTCATTCATGACTGATGTCAAACCTTGCTTTATACTAATAAGAAAGGTAAATGATTTGTATACTCATGATACAGAGCTCTTCCTAAAAAAGATATCAGCATTGCAGCCAAAGCCTACAGTTACTGATGACTTTTAGACAGTGAGAGATGGTCGAAACTTCCTTGGCTGTACTATTCATTTCATTACTCAAACAGGTTCTTTGAAAAATAGCTTACTTTCTTTCAAAGAAGTTCCGCCTCCACACACCGGTATTAATGTTAGGAATCGTTTCGAAGATGAACTAGATCGAGTAAAGTACTATGTTTTCTTGCAGTAACAGACAATGCTGCAAATATGAAAAGTGCCTTCACCATAGAACTTGATGAGTTCCCTTGTCCTACTGAAAATGATAAATCCGACAGAGAAGATGAGAACATGGCAATGCTCTCTCTGTGGATAAGCCAACCACTTTCACATTTTGACAGATTTATTGGGTGTGATGCTCATCAGCTACAGTTAGTAGTACATGATGGCTCTAAAGAGCTTTTAAATTACCGTTGAGTTTAAGCTGCATTTAAAAAGGTGAAGGCTATATGTACTCTGTCACGTCAATCAAGTCATTTTCATTATGCATTACAAGAGAAAAGGATACATACTGCCAATAAAGCACGATGGAACTCGTACTCAAGAATGCATAAATATATCTTAAATCATTCTAGTTATTAGTACTGCATTAGAAAGTTGAAACCACTTAACTCTCACTATTACTACTACTGATAAAGAAAATTTTTAAGGTGTATATGTTTTAGAATACTTCGCTGAAGGAACCGATATCCTACAACGGGAAAATTAACCTACCTCTTGTTGTCTTATTCCTGTCACTGACTCTTTAGAAAATGCAAGTAATAGTGTTCCAACAGATAATACAGCTATTAATGCATTGTGTGAAGCAGACATTGCATCATGTATTGAACATCCTTTACCATTTATTTACATCTACAGTGATAAAAATGTCATCTATCTACGTGTATGCCTGCTTTTCATTTTCGTCTATCTACCTCTACTATACATATTGTTAATTTGACAACAGTTTTATTTTATTGAAAACTATATCATTTAACATGTAACTAGATCAGTTAAGTAAAGAGAGGAAGAGAAAAAATGAGAGATTAACTATTTACATGTACATTGAACTCTAATGATAATTGTATGCAGAAACAACTACTTAAAAAATAGAAGTTCTTCCAGGTTTTTACTGCTGAGTCTTGTTCTTCTTTGGTTCAGTATGATGCCAGCCTTGGAAAATAGTCTCTCCACTGGGGCAGAGCTTGATGGGACAGATAGCAGCTCTAATGCCAGAGTTTTTAAGGGAGAACTGTTTCTTCCTGACCAGAAGACAGTAGGTTTTACATTTACTGTTGGAGTATCAAGGTACTCTTGAAGTTGAACATCTAAAGGGCTTAATGTCTCTTGT